GAAAAAAACCGAAAAAAACCGGCTAGAATCACGGCTTTAGGATCACCTTAAAAAATAATATATAAGAAACAATTGAATCTTTAAGCCGAAGCTACCGCGGTTAAAACACAATTTCACTTCTCTCTAAAAAATATAAATAAAAATTAATTGCTCGAAATAAATTAGAATGTATCTATGTATTTACTCAATGTCTTTCCAATTATTATATTTTTTAATTTACTGTAATAATATATTATGTATTATGTCTTACCAAATCTGGCATTTTAACCGTTGCGGAGCTGGGTTTCCTCTCGTTTCCTGACCCGCCGCAACTCTTCGTCTCAGTTCGTTGTGTTTATTTACTATAGCCGTCTTTTCAGCATCATTAAGGCCAGTACTATGTACGTGTCCGCATGCTCTTGCTGGTCTTGATGACTATGACATGATTTTGTGAAATTAGACAAATTAGTTATAAGAGTACATTCCTAATATATAGATGATCAAATCCTCTTATTAAGAAATCTTAACGATATTTATTTCTAAAGAGGAGAAATAAAAATTGTTATTTAGACAAAAAATAATTTAAATAAAATAATTGCTTTTGTATATTATACAGGGTGGATTAAAGTGTTACAAGCTGTTATTTCAGAAAATATGCATTACACCAAAAAATATATTACTTATTGTTAGTTAGATAAAAGTTGATGAGTTGCGAGGGCCACAAAACAGTATTATTAGTTTGATTTTGGATGTAGACCACTGTAAGCTACAAGATCATGTGAAGTTTACTTTCAATACGAAAATAGTTTGTCTTTATTAATATCATTATATTATCATTATTAATATCATTATTATATATATTTTTACAAGAAAAATTTGAAAATTCAACTATACGTTAATAAACCAATGCACATTGTATTGCAGCCTTGTAGCTTTCTGTGAAAGCACATGCACAAAATATTACTTTCTTTTATTTTTTAATTTTTTTAATTGTTTATATATTATTATTAATCTTAAAAGTTAAATTGTGAAATAATTATGTAAGCTACGCTTGCTTTGCATCTTTTAGATATTATGAAAAACCTGTCTACAAATGTGCAATAGATCATTTTTGTATTCGTATATATGTGGCTGTTATCACTTACGAGTATTTGCAGCATAGTAGGAGTATGTTTTTTTGTACGTAAGTCCAAGTTGCAGTAATTGACTGCAATTACGCTATTACAATTACGGTAAGACACAGAAGTCTGTAGATTTCTACCATAATCCTTCTTTGCTCTAATATTTTCTATCTTTTGGCTGTAACATTATCGGTAGTATCCTAAACTCCTTTGCAAACTGCTAATAGGCCTAACGACTATAATTTATAATTTATATACTACGCGTTATTAGTTAATGCAATTAGAATGACATATTAACATTTTAATATAATATATTAATATTTATTCGCCGCTTTCATGAGTATTGTCTTTCTTCTCTCCCTTGTGTTCTCGGCTATCGTCATTAAGAAAACATTACCTCATCGTTTCTACGTTGTACAAATAGTAGAAATATTATCGATGTTGTTTGCTTCATTTAGTATCGAGCAAAAAATAGAAATTACGTTAATGTGCCTCCTATAATTTGTTTTAGTTATTTAGTTATTACGTGTTTTTACATAAAAGAACTCAAAGTATAATACATAATAACAGTATTAATCATATTTATATATAATATTCTAGAATCATTTTTATCTTTATTCTAAGATTTTATTCTACCTTTCTCGTATAAAATTCATCTCGATCAAATCCGAGCATTAATAAATCCAGGACCATGAAAAGCTATCAGGTGAATTGAAAAATCACAGTCTGCTCAAATAAGCTTCAGCTTATCATTATACGCGTCAATAGAACTGGACGCTCGAAAACGGCTCGATTTCGGGCCACGCACTTTACTGGTAAATCATCGTTTTTTTTTTCTTTACCCTCCTTTCTATTCTTCCGAGACTGTCGGACGTCAAAAAATGGGGGCCTAGGTGGGCGGGTGGCTATTCGAATCTCCAAGAAAAGATGAATGAAAGCCAGAAGTCCATTCACGCGCGCACCTGACTCCAAGCTTCAAGTCGTGAGAATCGAACCAGAGATTTTTCAAGATCTCTTTCTTTCACCGCGCCCTCTCGCTGTCGTAGATACTATGCCTGACCATCTTCGGGAATACAGAGTGTGATACACGGCAATTTTCTCAGTAGCGACGTTTCTCAGGATGCCCCACGATTACGTCTGCATTGCTCTGTGTTATTAGATTTCACGTGTATAGCACGTATAAAAATATGTAAAAAGATTCGAGAAATTTACGCAGTAATTGTAGATTCATTAGCAGCGGAAATTAAATTAAATTTTATAGTTATCAATAATTAATTATGAAGAGATGCGGATTGCTTTATAGCAATATAACAATAATTATAAATGCAATTAATCTATTTTAAAATTTCTTTTTTTTAATGTTATATTTTGTACATTATTGAGGTAAAATAGATTATAACAATATTATGCACAATGTATATTATTTAAATCTAAAGATAAAAATAAATTTAGTATTAAAAAATTAAATTTAATAATAGATTATATTAATAAATTTAAATATTAGTTGTCCAATAAATATATATCATTAATAATAAAAAGAAATTGTATTTATTTATAAGAATAATTTGAAAAGCAATAAATAAATTCCTTCAAAAAGAGTAACATTCGGCACCTGTCGCGTCTCTATTATTTTGAAACGGGATATACCTGATCCGATACAAATTAACCGCATACAAAGAACTCAGTAGAAGCGCTGACTACCGAATTCTCAGTTTTTCATACGTTCCGGAAATTCAATTCGCTACGCATTAATAATTATCCGGATCAGGCTGATAGCTTAAGATTGATCTTATGAGAAAATAGTAGATCTTATTGTACTCTTTTTCTTCAAACTCATTATAGAACCCATATAGAAAATAATTATCCACGTGTCAATCTGTTGTCGCATCTTCTAGATATAATAGCAAATTATTTAATACTAATTTAAGAAAGAAAAAAAAAAGGAAAAAGTTACATTTAAACTTTTGTTTTCATTTATAATATTTATTTTGCAATATCAATTTCTTTTTTAACGTTTTTTATGTTTGTTTTTGTTTTTTAAAATAAATTGAAAAAAAACTTCTTGTTACATGCCATTTTAAACAATATTACTTTATACAAAAATATCAGTGATATTTTTACATATATTATTATTGAGATGATGGAAAAAATTAAATCAAGTTAAGATTCGAGCAAAAGACATACTTCAAAATATTTTGACAATTTATTGCGAAATTTATATTTTCCATTCGTCATTCTTCTCGTGAGCGTCGATCTTTTCGTCAGTGTCATCTTCATGTTTCTCGTCATCTTTATGTTCCTTATCAATCTCATGTTCATGTTCCTTGTCAGTGTCACCTTCATGTTCCTTATGTTCCTTGTCAGCATCTTCATGTTCTTCTAATACCTCAGGTTTAAGGAGATCCTTCTCTTTCTTGGGTAGCCATGGACGCGGTGCCCGGAACTCAAGATCGATTGTTTGTCTCTTATCGCCACTATCGCAGTGCTTCCTAATCCTCAATAAGAATATATTCGGATTTTCCTCAAGATCGATTGGTCTTACCATTTTCGACCTTTTAACTTCCCTGCCTTCCATACGATAAGCTGTAGAAGCGCCCCTGACATCGTCTTTTACGCTTGGATACAACGTGACCGTGCGACATCCCGCCTCCTCGCAAGTTTTCTCCATCGACGGCGCGGACTCATCCTCACGAGAAGTACGACAGAGTTCTAGATTTCCATGAGCCATATCGAACACAACGCCGTCGTCGCATTTTCTTTGGTTCAATGCCGACTCTTTTGAAGCTACTTGACCGATGCATTCGCACGGTGGATCGTACTCCTCTTTGACCGGCTCCTTTTGCATCCTAATGATGACGCGATTGTCATTGATGATAGCTTCGATCTCCTTGTACGGCTGTTCCTTTCCAACGATCTTAGATACGACTTTGTCAGTTGGGGCTCGCTCCATGTTGGACATCTCGAGATTCCTCGACTTCGATTCGCTTCTGCTCCTTGAAAACTGCTTGTTCATGCTATCTTTCGTTGCAGAAATCACCGCAGCGCTTACCGGCCTGCGCGAAGGGGTCGAATATATCCTAAATGCATCCACATCGCAACAATGAGAATATTGTGGAGGAAATAATGATAAGTGTACGGAAGAAATATACTCTGAACATGATGGAACATGAAGAAAACTTTTACGATTGATGCAGCAACAAGCCTTGTCTTCGGATATTGGATAGATGTGCTTTGGTTTCTTTATAGTTATGAACTGTGTACAACGCTGTGTTGGTTGTATTTGCGAATGACGTAGAGTGCTATATGATTGAAAGCAGCAAGGTGAACAAGGTGCTTGCAATCCGAGTGGTTCAGAGATCGGGGAAGACGGTTTCGCTAGACAGCCACAGTTGTAAGTTGCCGCAATCATTCTTGCTGTTCCGTTTTTGTTATGTATGTGAATAACGAGACTTATCGAGTAACATGATGGCAAATTGTTACATAAATTTTGGGTTATCCGAATGGTAACATGATCCGAGTTTATGATTTATGGGAAATGGCAAATCCATGAATGGGCAAATCTGCGATATGTATTTGTTTCTTAACGCGAAGTGAATTATGCCGGATTGAAAGGTCGATTTTAGCAAACTGCGTCAATCCCAATCATATCTTTTACAGTTTACAAAAATGGGACGTTAAATAAGCATACAATAACCTTACTTTCAATGAACATTATATCACAAACTTTAAATTATCCACAAAAAAATGCAGTTTTCTAAAGGTAAATATTAAGAAATGCCTGTTTTACTTCAATATTTTATACATAGATCTAAATCAAAATTATTTACTTGAAATTTAATTCAACAACCAATGTCTTATTTTTAAGAATGATTATATCTTACTATATTTAATTATAAAATAGATTAATAAAAAGTAAAATACTTATATAAATAATATTTAATAAAATATATATATAAATATATATATATATATATATATATAGATATATATATATAGATTGAAATATAATATTTTATATTTTCCGATAAGGTTATCTCCACGCGGAGGTTGCACAGTCGAATTTATACCTTTCTTGTGTGCAAGTGTACGTGTGTGATATGTGCGTGCGAACGAATGTGTGTGTGGATGAATGTGTGGATGGACATGTACGTGTATGTGCGTGAGTACGTAAGGTAACAGGACTGTTGGTTATTTTACTGCACAATGATGTACACAGGACACAATTTGTAATACAGTATATAAAGTTCAATCGTCCAAAAGTGATACAGAATAAATGTGATACAAAATAAATAAGATATAAAAGTGTTTCTCAAAAATGAGCTCAAAAGACAAATCAAATTCTTAACGTTCTCGGTCTGACCACTTGCGCACGTCTGATACAGAAAAATCAGTTCGATTTTGCTTATTATAGTCATTGGATGTTTGTTTTCATGTATCTACCTGCTCGCGACCTAAACAACAGATGAGGTAACACTAGGGGTATTCAAATAAGTTAAAGTTTAACGGTTTGACAAGTTATGTCGGGTTAAAGTCGAGTAAAAAGTTAATTAATTAACTTTGGGCGCGTTACTCTTTAAGGTTATGCAAAATACATAAGTGACTCATTAACCTATCACATTAATCTTTAAAAGTGTAAAAATTAACTTTTTACCCGACTTTAACCCGACATAACCTGTCAAATAAACACAGAATATTCCCTTCAATTTTTGTACTTACTAAGGAAACACTCTGTATATATAATGTAAAATATCTATATATATTAATGTAATTTAATAATAAAACTGTTAACTATTAACTGTTAATAAACTGTTTTAACAAGATACATGCCTCTGTCCTTCAATATCTCATCCGTCTTGTCCATCATCATCCTCGTCACATTCACTCGTCAAGGATGTTTGTTCAAAATATTACCAAGAGATCGGAGCAGAGATGATTAGCAACCAGCTGATTATTAGATTGGAGAAAGATAAAAACAAGTCAAAAAAGAAACGGGAAGAGTGGGACCCACCTTGCGACTGCATAGAAATTCAAAGGCCGACGAGCAAAACAGGCCCGAAAATAATCAACGCAGATTATGACGATCGCATTGTATTTCGCGTTCACTCGGCATTCCGTCTCCACGGAAAGGAAGATCCTTATAAATCGCAAACTCTCGCCTATAAAGTTTGTTCAACCTTATATTTTGAGAATGTGTTGGTTTTTGACTCGAGCCATAATAGTAATAAAATAGATTAATCATTATAAATAAAACAAGATTATATTGCGAGTCAGGAATTGTCATTTTTAATTTTGTAAATATTTTATATATTTTAATAATTTCGTAATTGAGATAAACGTAATTTCATTATAAAGGTTTTTAATCTGTACAATGAAGAGACTTTATTCAGAAGAAAATTATGTATTAGAAATAAATCGGAATAAGCAAAAACTTTAAATACAACTTTAACTTTAACTTTGCCGGAAAAAAATAAACTGTTTTAACAAGATTGGTACCTCTGTTCCTTAATATTTTATTTAAAATTTTATTTAATGCCTACAGATCGGATCATGCAGAGATGGACAGGATATTCACCAATGCAAAACCATTACTGTCTATCCTCAATTTAGCTCCGGAACGCAAGAAGTATATAGCGATCATATAACAGAGAGCACTCAGGATATCTTTTTACTTAGAATTAAAAAGAAAGCGGAATACTCTGAGCAGAAAGATAGGAACGTTGAACTTGAACTCAGAACACCTAAACCACCTTCAATACCGCCACCTGCACCTGCACCTGCGTCTGCATTTGCAATTGCACCACCTCAAACCGTTACCGCGGTAGATGTAGAAGATGAAAAGAAATCGGACGTGAAAGAGGAAATTCCAAAGCAGCCGACAAGCGCAAAAGAAAGAAAACACAAACGAAAGAAGAAAGGAAAATTATTGTCAGCTTAAAAGTAACATATATTGGCTTATCATATTTTTATTCAAAATTATATTAAATAATTCAAAATAAAAATTAAGTGTAACTCTGTCAATTACATAAAAATTTAAAAAAATATGCTTTTCTTTATATTTTATATTTTACAAAGTGATAATTTTGTATATACTGTCTCTTTAGTTTGCCTAATTTTTCCATGAAGAATGAATTTATCATATATAGATGACTGGAGTTTAAAGTAAAAAAAAGGATATACTTTCGAATGAAAAATGCGCACTTTATTCCTCACATCTAAAACAACTTATAAAACTTTAGGCCGATCGGGACAAGGATCATTTGGAAGTACACCCTAAAAAAAGAAAATATTTGTGACATTAGTAAACAATTAACGTAAATAGAGGTAACCGGAACGTTTTTTCGGGCATCCAAGGAACATAAATATCATGAACTTGGATCGGTAGCCATCGATGACACTCGGAAGAAAAGATTGGACTCCGTTTACTACTATGCAGATGGAATCTTCAATGAAATACACGTTGTATGCTGAATACGAAACTCAGCTTGCGTCCAGCTTATTCATCGGTTTCGACCGAGTAGCCGTGCAAAATTGCTTCGTTATGGTTGACCAGATGAGCCTCTCGGTCTTGACTCGTTTCCTTTCCTCTTTTCCTTGACTGTCCATACAAAGGGCCTCACACAACAGTCAATAACACAGCATGCCATTGGAGACCGTATTATTAAAGCTTATATTATCATAATTGCTTACTAACTTCTTCATCTTCTTCGCTGACTTGTAAGTGAACGAGCTTATATAACTATCGAAGAACAGACAAGGATTATTTATCGTTACATCTCAGATGTCGAAATTTATTAACTTTGCAATCTCCGTGTATATTACTAAATCAATAAAACATATACGAAACGGACTGAGAATTATTTTCGCACATTTTTCACACCACGGCGTAAAATCATACGTATATTTTATTTATCCTTACGAGACTAGATATTAAAAAAGTTCTCTACTTAATTTACAACTTTTTTTTTTAAGTGAAAAAAACGTCATCTGTCCGTGTGCTATCAAATAACAATACAATACGGATATGTCTCTATTGGAGTTTAGTCGTTCTTTGTCTCCTAAAAGCAGTTTAGGAGATACTCGAAACATTTTAGACTGTCCTCATATTTTCTCGGCATTGTCACCGATTCTCTCTTCGAGGTCGTCACAGTCGGCGAATCACGAATATACGCCCGCGGGCGTCGGCGTCGTCCGCGACCGTGCGGTGTCTATCCGACATGTAAAAGTTAAACGTACAAAAGAGGAGAATGGATGTCGCGATTATCGGTGTGTAGGGGGAGAGCGAGGGGGTCACAATATACCGCGGTAGACGCGGGGGTAAGAAGATGCCGAGGGCGGTTTCGTAATATCGTGAATGGCGTGGGAGTTCATAAAGGTGTCGTTCGCATTCTGTGTGGTCGCGTTTAAGGGCGGTGACAATGGCGCTGGCCAATAAATTAGGACGCCACGGAGGTAAAAGCGCGCATCTCTCGATGCACGCATGCACGGGGAGGAGAGGGGAGGGGGAGAATCGGAGAAACGGCGTGACGAGCATGGTCGCGGCGGTGGTGAGTGAAAAGCTACTCGTTTTTCCTAAGCCGTGACGGGCTAAAGAGGAGTCTGCGGTCGCTGTTGAATGGAGCGACAAGTGACCGCAATATAATATTGTACGTGGGACGGCTGTCTACAGGCCGGAACGAGCTAAGGAGAAGATCTCGACACGCGAGATCGGACATTTTTCAGGATGAAAGAACGACGATAATTCATGGGCCACTCGTGAAAACGCGTAAAATCGAGATATTTTTTTCGCACGCTTGGACAGAAGCAGAATTGAAGATGACATAGTAGCGTCTCGATCAAGGTAGGCGTCTCGCTACGTGCTAGTCATGTGACTGTTTGTAGGTTTTCACGTTCAGAAATATATTTCAGGCAATTTTTGCTAAGGGAAAAATAATTTTATGAATTATGGTGTAAAATTTCATACGTGACAAAGTATGTTACTTTTTCCAAATTATGTGATTTTTCTCATTTGACTCCGTTTTGATCAGCTGATCATGCGAGTCGTCGAGAAAGGTTATCATCTCCTTTTCGATTGAATTTTGACAATTACTGAGAAAGGGTTTCAAAACGCATGACAGGAGTGTCACGCACTATCCACGTCGGCTAAGAAAGACGAGCCCCATCTGCAACTACAGTGCGTAGCCAGTGGCGTTGCCAAGTCTTCCCAACCTCACCTCGACCAAAAAATGTCTGCTCGCGTACCGCATTTTCACTAAAATAAACTAAAAACGTAGCAGCGAAATCTCCGGTAAACTATATATTTTATATTTTATGGTTGCATCGGATTCTTCGAAATCTAATGTACAAAAAGCAATGTTTTTTCTCACTTCATCTACGCGAAAAATGCGAAAATATGTGATTGAAACCGTGATAGAGCCTTCTTTTTCTGGCCGTCTGTATAAAGTAATGCAAAATTTGTGATTTTCGAGATCGATTTTCTAGAGTAAATAGTCGGTAAGGAGCCACAGAAAAAATCGACTGCAAAGCTGATCATATAATTTGATATAAAATCCGAAATCGAAAACTTTATCTAATAATGCCCTGACGAGACGACTCTCGTACCGCAAACGTTCATATCACACAAATAAAATGTTTGTTGAGAAAATAATAAAATAATTCCGATTGAGATAGAATAATTTTGTTGAAATAACTTCTCTTAAGTAATTTACTTCTCTTTTAGTTAAATTCTTAAGTTTAAACGTAGATATATTTCCTCATTTTTAATAAACTTTTGTAATTAGTGACTAATTACATATTGCAATTAAACTTCAAATAAATTATGAGAATAATTGTCTACGAATGTACAACAAATAAAAGAATGGTACAAATATGACAGAGGAGTTAATATTTTATCATAAAACAATAACGTTAAGTTAAAAGTTACTTTGCTTCCCTCCGTGCGAATTAGCAAATTATTTTTAGCCACGTATAATTCGCTCGTTTTCCGTTAATATTAATAATTGTCGCGAACAGCAAGGGAATAAATAAATCAGCGGGCACGTTCGCCGCGGGCGGTAACGAGCATGATCATTCAGGGTGGTCCGCCGATTGTGGCATCGAAAATTGTAACCGAAGCTGCTTGATCTGCGAACGAAAGATATAGGGGGGAAAGCCGTAATATCATCATTATATTACGTCACACAGATGCGCGGATCGGGGGATCTCGAGACCGTTTTTATATTGCGGTTACCGCGCCATTGTCGCGCGCCGATGTCCACAAAGGGTCTCAGCAGGACTCCCGCGGAGAGAAGGTTTACCGCATAGCGGGGTTGCTGATTGGTCGGTTCCCCTGTCAACAGTTATGGTAATAATCTGTACGCACTTCCTGTATATCTTCCTTTTCCGATCACCTGCCAATTCTGCGAAGGCATTCCCGCCGAAATTGAAAAATATGTCACACGAGTATATCATTACTCTTTACTTTTCTCTACAACGCATTATAAAACGTCAGATAATGCGTAACGGTGTTGCTTTATAAGAAAAAAATTTCTGATAAAGAGTTAGAGTATACGTTTTGTTTTAATCCTAATTATTTTCAAACGTGTTTCCGAGTATGTTACAGATAAAATATAATTTATATAAAGTGAATGTCGCGCAAAGTTAAAAGTTGTAGATATTTGACGTTTTAGCTCACTCTGAACGTTGTTGTGCTTTATTGCGAAAATTTGCACAAATGGTCGTCGTTACTGAAGGTGAACATGCATCGGCCATGCATCGGCTATATCATCTGCATTTTGTAAAAAGAATATAAAAAATTAGCAGTGCATGGTGATTGTTTTGAGATAATCGCGAGCGATAAATCGTTCCTGCCAGGGAAAATGTTGGCGAATCATGCTGGAACCACTAATAGTTTTGACAGTGCTGAATTGCATTTTCATGTTCAGTTCCACAGTCACGACCTGCGCATTGTGGTAGTTATCTGTCGTAAACTATTCCATATTTTGTTGCAATTTTCTGTGACTCTTAGGGTGTAAATAGTTATAGAGTGTGAATTATTAAATTTCTCGGCGTTATTTAAATAAGTGTTATAATTATATGTTCCACTAACACGTTCGTTGTATACCCAGGTGGCAATATCAGGGCCACCGTTGTTGTCCTAGAAAAACTAATGCTCAACAAAAATTTGACTCAAAAAGATCGAAGAGCTATACTTTACAAACTGCTAAAAAGCGAGGAAAATCAAATTTTGACGGCTACGCTAATTTTGTTAGCAAGTCCGGCACGAATGGTAGTAGCGAGTACAGAAGTAAAAGAACCCAGAAAAAAAGATCTAAGAAAGGTTTGGAATATCGAAAAAAAGGCGGAGAGAAAATATCATTCCCGTAAATTGCATTTTATTTCATCTCTTTTCTTATTTTTTTATTTTTGCGTTGTAAATAATATATTTTTTAATAATATACGATATTGTACTTACTGAATTTCAGAGATGAACTGGAAATAATGAAGCTCGATGAAAAAGCTAAAATGTCGGAGGCTTCTCAAACGATAAATGATACAAAGTCGACGGTCATAATGGAGTTTTCAACGGTCCAAAAAGTTGTGCAGATTGTCGATGCAGATTCCGATGTTAATTCAACGCGAGCTCCTTTCAAGGAAATTATCATCCAGAAAAATACGGCGAACAAAAAGCGTGATCATAACGTCGAGCAGAATTTCGAGGCTACTCTAGCCGCTACTAATTCTTAACATATTGTCATAACAGATTAATAAATTAACGACATAAATTTGTTACGTAGATATCGTAAATTCTAAAATAATGATTTAAAAAAATAAAACTTTTATAAATATAGGAAGATTGTACAGCTAACAAGATGCCTAACATTTGAGATTTCGTCTTCGTTGTTGTGTTTAAATTTATTTTAAAAAAACTTGTATACGAATGAATGTAAACAAATAGCTTTTTTAACTTTTAGGCTGCCAACATTTTTTTAAAATTAAACGAGCGTCCTTTTTTTTCCAAAAATATATCTATAATATATAAATAACATACACATGGTTCATAGATTTGTTGAGAGCCATAAATAAAGTGACTTCCGCGGCAATCTAAAGGTTAATAAATACAGGATACTATAAAAATATACATTTTTTTTTAAATTTAAAGTATAGGTTCCAATGGATCCAAATCCGCATAAATATATATATAGAAACCAGGCTAACTAAGAACCAGCGCCGTAAATGATGCGCGAAGTTTTATTTATATTTTTATTTTACATATTTTCGAATCGATTTAATTAGATGTAGGGGGGGGGGGGAATTTTACTACTCCAACCGGAGCTGTGTTTCAAGTCTGACAAATCTAGTCGGCACGCAGTCAAAAGGTTGTAAAATATGTAAAATAAAAAAATATATAAATAAAACTTTCGCGCATCATTTATCGCGTTGGTTCTTAGTTAGCCCGGTTTCTATGTTAATTTGATTATGCTGGAAGAAATAATCAGCGCATTCTTTATTATCATTTGACACTTTTATTTGATTTTCATATTCCACATATTCCACTTATTTTTTAATTCTTGATATCGCCAATTTTTACCTCAGTCTTTTACAAGCACGATATTAGTTTTAGTTTGCTTTCACGTCTGTGTTTGTGCTATCCTTCTTGTTCAAAGAATCATCCGATTTGTTGTAACTATTCGAATGTTCAATCTGTCTGTTACATATCTGCGATGTTTCCTTACTCTTTTCCGTGCACCGACGACGTGCGTTTCGACGTCCTCCTGATCGAGCGCACATTTTTTCCCTAACGCACGATCGACATTCTCGTTGATCTTCACGATTGCGTTCAAAGCAAGGCAAATCCTTGAGTCTCCGTTGCGCATGAATTGTGCCAGTTTTCACGCATCTCGGGAAATCACGCGAACGTGCTCTCCGGTGTTTCTGCATCGGCTTTCTACGCACGCAACACTCGCTTGAATCCACTTTTCGAAGATTCTTTGAGAATCTTGGAAAACTAAGAAAAAAAAGGAGTAAATTAACCGAAGAAACATACAGCGACAAATATGTTTCAGCACACTCTTATCGCTCTTATATCGTTTCGACTCACAACCATTACGAGCTCGTACCATACCGAAAAGAGGATACACCAGATGCATGTTATGCAAGCACTGTTGCATATAGTAATACAGTCCACCATCTCGCAAAAAACTTCGCATTTTGTGACTTTGGGTGACGTTTACAAGTTCATGTCCCAAGAGATAAATTTAACTTTTCAAGATATAATAAGTTTCCGATTATGTATACTAATAGTATCAACGTCGCAAATAACTGTGTAATAACCTAATAACAACGTAATAGTGACACATGAAGTACAAAACGACCAACAGTTATTGCTGCTATAGCTGTCAACTGCAACACTATTTCGCGGTCGGAAAAATAGAGCCAAAATTTTCGTCGGTTTTGTGTCACGTCGTGCAAAATATCGTTATGTCTCTCACGTGCAATCATTGATTTCCAAATGCATCTAGGATGTTAAAGATTATTGCGTTATGCAGTTGCGTTTGTCCGTGATAAGCTCTTGTGCTTCAAGTGTGAGTTTAACCTGCCTATTCTTGCCTATTTCATGTATTCTTTCAATTTCGAACTATGTAATTTGCTAATTTCTAATGCTTAACCAGAAAGCTGTGGTTTGGAGGATTTTGAGTACACGACTAAATTATATTTTGAGTACAATATTAAATTATAATTGAAGGAAAATACACGTTTTATACCCACCCAGTAATCAAGAAACGTCGAGAAACATTTTAAAAATGTTTTTTGATGTTTCTTGCTTACTAGGCATTTTGCTGAACGTTACACAATTACGTGTTGATTTTGCTGTGCGTTTGTTGTATAATAAGTCGCATTATAACGTTACGCTCCGCGTCGACCAAAATACGTTACGACTTTTATAATATTCTTGCAAAAGTTTGTACGTCCATATAGATATTTTCACACGTGGATGCATGGTGCATCGACTACGTTAATTACAAGCTATATTGACGTGAAAAGTTTAGAAACACGATACAAATAAACAACTATAAGTCCGGTTCATCTTATTAACTAGTTATAAAGCGAAAAGTTATAATAATTGCATTTAAACAACTCCTCTCAAACTCTTCTTTCTCATTGTCAGTCAATAATTTGCTTTTACGATCTAGATTTTACGACCTCTGTTCTGTTAGACTAATAATATTGGTTATTTAATGTGTTAGGCATGTGGACAAAGAGTTAGAAGCTAAAACTGACAGACAAGGCTAAGAACAGACTTTGAGAAATTTGATTAATTACTCAGCTAGCTAATTTAATTAATTAGAAAATTATATTAATTAGATTTATCATATTATTATATTTATTAATTACAAAATTAAAGAAATGATATAAATTTTTAAAATCAAGTCCAATTGCATAAACAAAGTTTGAACTTAAAGTATAAAATATTTGAATAATATTTGAATGTTTGCTAAAAATACGGTTCAGTATCACGAGTTATCTTGTTAAATAAATTGTTTATATGTATTAAATTCTGTATATTAAACTTAATATACAAAACACTTGTTAAAATTAAAGTTTTATCTGGCAAAGAAAAAAATTTTTACACAGATCACTCATTTGTTGCAGTAAATGTTTTCCAAGTGTTTCTCAAAACTTATTACCTTCACGCGAGATCAATGATCGTAACCGACACTCATCCTCGTAAACCAGTCACGTCAGCGAAGTTTTGTTACGAAAACGTCGAGACGGACAATTCTACATTCTCTACTTAAGTTCACGCACGTGTTGGGCGTCTGTGTACGTGAACATTCTTCCTATGCGGCGCGTTACATACGTGTATAATGGCCGAATGGTGGGGAACTCGATGTACTACCGGCGCGAGGAAGAGAGGAATCGTTTTGCTTCGAGCAGATAGACATCCTGAGCGACAGGGACCGCGGAAGGTACTCCTTCACTCATCGAGCTAGGCTCCATAGTGCAACGTGCGCGATTTTCACGTCAAGCCTGTGTGATCTTTTGTCACTATTGTGAGGGAACAAGTAAGTGTCGCAATATCCGAGATCAATCATCGGAACGTGCTTTCTTTCAATTTTTAAATAATTACATATCGCAAAACACAACGTGCTTTAAATCAAAATTGCATATTTATAAAATTCGCGAAATTGTTTCTTTATTTGTAAAATTTTTGACAAGATCGGAATCTATTTTTTTTAAAAACATTTTTGTGATAAAAGTGGATATATTTACTTATTAGTTTTGACGAATTATATTTACAGATAATAAGTAAGTGAAAATATGACGTACATGATACTATACAATCAAATTAAGGAAAAACGCTGTTAAGGAAAAAAAAGGCCAAGACTAGATCTTGGTTGGCAAACCACGCGCTGTTACTTACAAACTTAAAACGCAGTCTCAACCAAAACAAGAACAGAATAATTACAAAATTAAATTGATAATCAATTTAATTATATAGTAACTCATATCTTTATAAAAAATTAGAAATACATAAAACAAGAAATACAGGAGATATAGTGTAGGATACGGAATATATAGGATATGTTGCGAGAAATACTGACATCGAGGCATATATATTTATATGCCTCGAGGTGATGAATATATTTATTGCATCATGTCCTAGCAGCGTGCCTTAAAACGCGGTTCCTGCACCGGTCTAACCGGTTAATGGGGACCGAATTTTAAGTCAGTAAGTAAGTCAGTGCATGGTTTGTTAAGGCGAAGACGTGTACGTAAAGATTCACTGGAATAATATTATTATCAACCGAAATCCAGTCCCTGACGGTTTAACGACGTTTTTCCTTTGTTTGATTGTATATTTACATTTTTTATTTTCCATATTATTTTTATAAAATTTTAATAAAATTCAGGTTTTATTAAACAAACTTTAAATTAAAGATGTTTAATATTTAAAATGTAATGTTATTAGCTTTTTAATTAGGGAAGTTTGATTTCAGATTCATTAATGGAACGAAAATGCACGAGCATTTTTTTTTCATTTTCGTAGTTTTATTTTTGTAATTATCTCTTGTCTCTGACACAGTTATTTTTATATCAACCCGCATTTATTTATTAATCTTTTTGGGATCATATCTGATCACTTTATCTTCTCCAACATAAAATTCCTCTCACGTATATTATCCACTCCATGATTTTCACGAGTTTATCAGCAGTATTATTTACAGTTGCACGTAATACGATTATATGGAACGTAGATTATATAAAGTTGCAACTCGGAGCTGCAAATAATTTAGAGTTTCAATTAGAAGTATTTTACAAGTTTTATATAATATTTTTATTTCAGCATCTTTAAATTGTTACTATAATTTCCGTAAAGAAAATCATTTCTCAAGGCTAGTTAATCGATCATGCTCATATTATCTTATCTTTTCGTCAGCAAAATTTGTAAAATAATACAAAGTTGTTGGTTGTAACAGTTACAACGAAAGACATTTGCATTATCGTCTCTGTTGCTCTTATAACATGCAAAGTGTAACAAATATTTAAATCAATATTGCATTGAAAATCAAAAATTTAACTTAGTGTCAATTCAATTTTTTAATTTAATTTTAATTTAATTTTTCTCTTTATTGAAAGCGTGTAGAGTAAATATAGGTATATAAATTTGCATAAACAACAAAATTTCTGTCTTGCCCTTTTACGAAGATTATTCACTTTTGCAACTTTGCGATAACAACGGAGAACTGTCGTGAGCTTATCGGTATTCAACGAACTGATCGGCTTTAAAAAACGGGTGCTAGAAATTTGGAAATAATTTGGAACGAGGTCGTCCGCGAGATCGAATTCGTGTCACGTAAGGATTCTCTTTCTTTACGTTTCTCTGACTCGCCCGTGCGCGCGCGCGCGTGTGTGTGTGTGTGTGTGTGTGTTCATTTCGATTACATCCTCATCTTCGTTTCTTAAATACATATTTTAAAGACGTAAACATCCTTTGTAGCATCGAGACCAGATGGAAAATTTTTCAAGTAGCAAGTAAATTGATCTATGATATACGATATAAAGGTCGCACGTGATCGCACGTTGTCTAATGAGCTTGGGTATGATTAATCATGTGAACTATATGAAGACGCGAGGGAATACCTGAATGTTAACTATCAATATTAGCATAAAAATGATAGAGAAACTGCAAATAATGTTTAAATTACACGCTTTCTGTGTGTGTGTTCTGTTTAACATACTTCAAAGTTCTTTGAAGTCTATGTTATAAACTCCGTTCATCAGATGGTATTCGGAATTTGTGGCCAAATATTTGTTCGCTAAAATGAGAAAATTAAACTGCGAAGACGTATGACCTAGTGCCATCTTTACCTATCCTGATAGGAAAAAGTACGAAAGTAAACGACAGATGCAATCTCGCAAATATATTGATGACGAAAGACATTATGTGTGTGTGTGTTTTTTTAAGTAAAACTTGAGTAAAAAGTTGCAATACAGCGGCAAATTTATTATTTTAGTGTTTTATATCTGCAACGTCTGCTAAGTGTTTAAAAAATTACGCAAACTCAGTTCCTAATTATAAAATACGGAATACGATAACAAATAGGGAATAGTGAGAGAGGCACGCGGAGCCACGAGCGGTACGTCGTGCGCACGCACGCGATAGTCTACAAGATAAAATATATTAAGCACGACCGCGTTGTACGTTTCGACACTTTGTTTCTGTCCGCTTTAGTGTGTAAACAAACGTACAAACGCGCGAAACGCAACAATCAAAAGCGCGAAACGGACCGTGTACGGTCGTCGCTGCGACCGTTACCGCAATCGAACGAGGTTTAAGCGTATCGCTCATTCGGGGGGGCTTCGCCCCCCCGGACCCCCCCAATGGGGGGGCTGCGCCCCCCCATGCCCCCCTTCGTGCGTGCGCCGATCAAGTTTGGGTTACGGGGGGGCTTTGCCCCCCCAAACCCCCCCGCGTGCCTGCGCGGACTGAGGGCTGGGTTATATG